GACCAAGGTGTATTTCAGAACGCTGCCCATGTTTTCTCTGTATGGCAGAGAGGTCTGTAATGGTGCTGTTGTTTTCACAGGGCACTGGCTATGAAATCTCTCTTGATCCTTATTGTGTAGCTGAGTTAATCTCTGAGCATCATTGAGCTCATCTCTTTCTTCGGGTTAGCACAGGCCGTGTGCTTGCTTTTGCTCTTAATCTGGATCATGTTTAGCCTGATTATGTATCTTATGGGTGAGACATTTTGCCTTTAGGATTAAAAGCAGGACACACTTGAAAGCTTTAGAACCTGGTAAAAAATGTATTTTTTTTCTAAACACGAGATCCTACTACAATTTTCTCTTTCCTTACAGTTTTGTTTACAGCAGTTTCCATCTATGCCAGTTCTGCCCTTATTAGAGATTGCTTTGTTTCAGTGTACAGAGTGATCTTAGTCATCAAAGTATCATTTAGCTATCTTGGGAAAGGGCAATTGCACTTGAGTGTTAATGGTTGGGGTTCTTTAGGTATGACAGCTTCAGTTCCTAGCATTTTGAGTCCGCATTTTCTTTCAGCTACACAATAATCTACTCCAAATTGCACTTTGAGTTTCAGGTATGAATTAGACTATAGAAAGATAGGTCATGTAGCCGTATCTGACAATTACACAGGGCTGACTTTACTATAAATAGACTTCATTTAGTTTTTCTTTTGGTATGAATTTGTTGATCTTCAGGAGATGGATCCTTCTAACTTATCTTGATCTTGATTCCTAATAGTTACTCCTGGGTTGTAATCAAAACAATATTTTTCCGTATGTTTAGCAAACCTTGTAACTCTGAAGATGAAATGCAGACCACACGCACATAAAAGACAGATATCAAAGAGTACCACCGTATGTACTACAGCATACCAAGGAACTAGAAGAGAGATCATGTATTTTGAGAGCTTAAAGTGGAATACCAAGTAGTGCCCAGTTTGTGGGCTGGATCTGCAGAGGTCATAGGACTAGAGTTCTCCTTACGAAAATGTGTGTGCAGGAGACAAATGGGTGAGATGCAGGGACAGGGAGCAATAGCTGAGATCCTGTTTGATGCCACTAAAAATTCTGTTCAAAACTTTCCAAAGCAGAGCCCTTCACTCCAACATCTAGCAGGTCTTGGTCAATGTGTCTTATCTCCAATGTAGTTAAGTGGTTAAATGCCATAGTAACTTTGTAATTATTTGTGTATTAAGAACTGCCTCTTACGTTAGTTAACAGAAGTATTCATATTATAGATACAATGTGTTTGTGTAGCACCTGTTATTCTGTCCTATATGGGACCATATTTGTGTCCTCATAGGCTTATCTTGAAATAAGTCCTAGTCCTAGATAGTGAACCTGTATGCAGCACTTGCATTATCAGCACAAACTACCCTTCTTCCAATCTGTCTTTGCTCTGCCTTTGGAATTTACCACCACTCTGTGCACTGCTGGTCAGGAAGCCTAACTCTGACGGCAAATTAATGGCAGTTGTGTCGAGACTTTTTGGGTTCTTGGCACCCAGTTCTTTGGGTGCCAAATGCCACCCTTTGTAATTCACATAAAATATTGTAAAATAGAAACCAGACAATGATTGATCCATAGATTACTCACATGTCTTGAGAGACTGTTCAGTTATTTTTAAATGAAATTCAGTAGTCACTTCTGCTGAAAAATCAAGCTTCACACTGTGTCCCCAATCACTAACCCAAGTTACTGGGTCTTTGGAACTCTGTTCTTGATGATTTCATCGTTCTATGATGAACAATGCTTATCGATCAAGCTCATCTAGTGCTGTTTATGTGAGTTACCTAATCTGTAGATGAGAAATGGTTTCTAAACTCTTACTATTACTTCCTATTTCTATTCTATTTCTATTCTATTCTATTCTATTCTATTTCTATTCTATTCCTATTTCTATTTCTATTTCTATTACTATTACTACTATTTCCAATTTTATTAGGGATCATTTCCATCACTATTATCTATAAACAAATTCTATTCTATTCTATTCTATTTCTATTCTATTCTATTTCTATTCTATTCCTATTTCTATTTCTATTTCTATTACTATTACTACTATTTCCAATTTTATTAGGGATCATTTCCATCACTATTATCTATAAACAAATATTTAGAAGTAAAGAGGTTTTCTAAATATCTAGTCACATTATGTAACTCAGAACATTCTTGTAAACTAAATCAAGCTAAAACTCTGGAACTTTACTCATTTTTCTATGGATTTTAATATACAGACTAATAGATTTTTTAGAGCAGTAAAGTGATATGAATTATTAAATCTTTATAAGCCACACAAATAGCCTCCTATCTAGGTGCTTAGTCAAATGAAGTCAAGTCCAGCAGTCTAAGCCATGCAAAAACATGCCTGCTTTTTGGGTCAGAACAGTGAGTCACGTTTGCAATCTGTGTTTCCATAATCTTCTTTCATTTTGAGACCACGTCATTATGGATGACCATACCTGAGATCATACCCATATCTATCTCCTTGCTGGTCTGCGTTATACTGCCCACTGCATCCAGGCCCTGTGTCATTCCAGACATCGCTGAATCATCAGTCTACAGCATCTTCAGATAGTCCACACAGGCTGTGTGCAAATTCACTGAAAATATTGCACAGATTTCAAGTGAAGAAGAGAACTCTAAGGGAGCCTATTCCATAGAAAATATGCTGTAAAATATGCTGAGGATTCATTGTATCTTTAACAAGATTAAAAAGCTGATGGAGGACATTAATTTGTAAATAAACAGGCTCATCATGCCCACATCTTGTCACCATCATGTTTCAGTGTGGAGAAATGTGCCTTAAAGTTTCCCAATCACAACATATCCAGTGTAACATATAAACTAACCTGTAAGAGTAAGATATCTGTACTCATGGGATGAGATAAGCATGAATTTCTTCAATCCTGTGCTTCTTTCACCATGGTTGTCCACCCTTTCCTTTCTGTGTTTTCATTTGTACAAAAGCTGCATCACTGCACTAGTTTTTCACCTTTGCTGTCCCACTAGCAAAGAGAGATACAAGATTAAAGGACGTGCTTGATCAGAGACCAAATAAAGAAGACACTTTCAGACACTGCATCCTCTTTGCATATAGCCTCTGCCTGTACTGTCAAACTAAACAGTGCGAGTACACAAGCTTGAATAGTGGTCCCTGGTCATCTATAATATATTCTTAGCATGGGCCCTGGAAAAGAATTGAGCGTTCTCCTAAACAATTCACAGTCATAGTATGTGACTTAATATGCAGTTCATCTGCAGCCATGTTATCATGAAGGCTTTAAAAGAGCTTCAGGATGATGCCTTTAGGTGAAATAGTAGTACTGTACTTTTTTTAGAATAAATGTATCCTTTGTATAAGTCATATGTCTTCTTTTTTGGACAAGATAATATCAATCTCAGACTTCCTTGTAGGCTTTTCAGTTGAACTATACCATTTTTAATTGACATTCCCAAAATTGGTCCCTGAAGTGAAATTCCCAAAGTGCAATGCTCTACTGAGCCCTCACCAATGCTTAGTGAAGATGAATATGATGATTTTCTGTGTATTACAAATTATATTCCTATTTATACATTTTAGATTGCTCTGTACAGTTCTCTAAGTTCTGTTCTTAATGAGCTCAGATTGATTTGTAAGTCTTTAACTTTCTTAATGCTTTTGAATATGCTTTTCCAGCATTTATATCAACTATAACCCTTTAAATTTGTTGCCAAAGCTGATTACGTGAGTAATGATAGCATGGGCAGCCTTTTTAGTGAAAAGAATCATTTAATATTTTGACCTGTCTGGAATCATGTTTTAATAGCCTCAGTTGGTAACCATCAAGCTGTCCTGTCATGGAGAAGCTCCTACTAATTTTACTATTTTTGTACCTGTTCTGTGGATCACGGGAGGATTAATTTCTGAAGAGCTCTCAGTCTTCTCACTTTCAGAAGCACTAAAGTTATTTTAAAATTATGTATTAGATTGTTGGGTCTCTTTATGACTGAACTATGCCTCATAAACCAATCTCTTGGAAAGTCTACAAGAATAAATGAATAAAACTAAAGTAATGCAGACAACTAAATTGTTATTGTCAACTGATCTCCTATAAATCAACTTTTTTTTGTTGAGGGCTCTATACCCATGCTAATTGAGCTTGATAGGTGTTGCTTCATTTTCCCTTCTACCTGAACTGCATAGCTTCCCTCTTGGCAATGGTGTGGCAATACAGGAAGCCAGGCTCTAACACAGTCTTCTGCTTTTTGCCGTACACTTCAGTATGAAATAAAACGCACTGTGCTGGTTTGCAGCAGATCCCTATTAGAGTGCTGTCTGGGCTGTGATTTGCTGGTGCAATGGATGGTTGCCTAGAGAAGCACAACCTGAAGTAGCTGTGTCAGTGTCCCTGACCTGGTAACGACAGAAGTTTGCTAATTTGTATTCTAACTAGTGCTGGCTGATAAAGGGATGTATACAGTAGTGCCAAATCCAGATATACATCAGGGCAAGGGCAGAATCCAGCCCAATTTCCTGCCACAGACCCATATAGATAACCGCTTTCACTTGGAAAATATCTTAGGCATATTTAAGAACACTTCAATGGATGTTTGCATAAATATAGCCTTTCTCCATTTTGTGTGGATATTTTGGATCTTTCTGGTACCTCTCATTATGAAATATTCCTAAGCTAAATGCAGGACAGATAAATTATGGCTCTGGTTCCTTTTGAGCAGGGGAGCTTGCCTAAATCGCTGCCACATTCTTCCCATAGCAGTCGTTTAAAATTAATAGCACATGCAGAGGAAAAACTAAACCCTTTGACGTCACTCCTGAAATGAGGAAACATAAACAGAGAAGGCTTCGCTCCAGCGCGCTGGCAGGGCCGGTGCGGATTGGTCTGCTGCGCCTTGCCCGTGGCACTTGACAGCACCTCCCTGCCCCGCTCCCGCTCGCGCTCGCGCCCGGCCTGCCGCTTGCGAGCACTGCCGCTCACACTGCAGCAAGCTCAGCTCTACCCCAGCCCCTTCACTGGCAGAAAAGTGCACTCTCCTTCCGACTCCTTTTGCTTCTTAAGGTGGCTTTGTAGGCTGGGTTGGGAGGATTTGGGGAGGTTTTCTTTTCTTTTTTTTCTTTTATTTATTTATTTAATTTTTTTTTTTGGTTGCTGTTGTTACTTAATTGTATTCCTAACCCTGGATGCAGTTACTGGATTCTGCAGTACAAGTCTTCATGAACAAGCTGCACCGCTTAGAGATTTCACGGCATTCAAAGGTCACAGAACTGCCACTATGGTTAAATGTCTTGTTTAATGGTTGAGGTATGTACAGCAAAGCTAAACGAGGCAGCATGATTATTTTTAAAGGGGAACTAAAATTGCGAGGGGGAGAGGGAGATAATACTATCATTTAAAGGAGATGATTTTTAGTGGTGATTGTTACTACAGCAACCGGTTTTTGAATTTCCTCCCTTTTTCTTCTTATTCAAACTGGATGAACAGTCTAACTTATGTTGATTTAGCCATTTTATGGCAAAAGAAGGTTATGGAAAGAATCTGTTATTATAATCCTTTCTGTCCCCACTGAAGGAAGTGTGATTGCTTTTTTCACTGTGTAGTCCTATTGCTCAATGGCAAGGAAGGAGACCTTGCACTTGGTTACCTTAGATGAGGGGAGGAAGAAAGGAGAAACTCATTCCTATCCTGAGGGGACTGTGAGTTTGTTTAAGAGTTAGAGCAGGGAGAAGAATACGTCAGGCAAAAGAGAATACAAGCATCATTTTTAGGAGTGTTGTGTTCTGCAGCATTTTCTTACTACTTGCTTAAGATGCTTTACTTGGTTTGGGTTCAGAAGTTCAAAATTAAGAGGAAGCCTGTGCTTTAACTTATAAGCAGGTCTTCAGCGGGAGGGGAGGGAGCTGATCGCCGTTTATCAACATTAGTTTTCAGACAGCTTTTCCTACCAAACAGGAGAAAAGTGGAAATTTAATTGGAAGCTGAAGTAATGCAGCCTGATGTTTATTTAATGACATATAGGTTCAATCCCTATTGAAGCGGCTTGAATCTGACTTGAATGAGTATTGCAGCATTACAGTGAAGAGTGTGTGCTGCAGGAAATGAAAGCAACTGCTAGCATAAAACTAACATTGTTTTCAGGAGTGTGATTCAAACATGAAAGAGGAGGAGCCACTTGTCAGAGTTCATGTATGTGTGTGCATGAGTGATCTGAATAACTACATCAGTCAATACAGCTAATTTTTTCAGTTAATTTGGTTAAAATACAGGTATGCTCAGTGACTATCAATCTTATTTTTTCAGTTTGTGGAATGAGACTTTTTACAGCTCTGTTTGAGATGTTACTGTAAATATAAACCTTTCATGATTTGAAAATCTTTTAGTTTAACTGAACAAATCATACATGAAAAATCAGTTCATATTAGAAACCGTCCTAACGCAGTGCACTTCAAAGAGCTATGAAAATTAAATGTACTAGGTACAAACATGCTAGCTTAAGGACTGCAAAAATATTAGCTCTGAAATGCAGAGGATGTGATATGTGCTGTGAATGGACAATTGCTATTCTGCAGTGCCTAGTGGGAAAACAAGGACTTTGTGTATTGCAAAGGCATAACTGCAGATCCTCCATTTCCTTTGCTGTATCTTCACAGATGAATGCAAGAACAAAGAGGGTTGCCACAGATAGACAAACTCTCTAGTGTCACATCTTTTTGAGATACTTAAGGATATTTTTTTTCATGTCATCCAATAACTGAAAGCCCAACAGTGTTGAACTATTATTTTGTAATCTCCATACCATGCTATGCTCCCAGCCCTCCCAGGAGTCTTATGTGAACTGCAGCTGTTTTCAAAAATTAAAACACAAGTGATCCAAGTTTGTAGAAGGTAATCTGTAAGGCACTGGTTTTGTAATAATTTCCTAGAAGAACATTATTCACTTCTTCTGATAAATGACTTTCTAGCAAATCTCAGATTTTAATCTACCTTTTGCTGCATTCATATTTTGTAGCAACTACTACACGCAGTACTAAGTAGAAGTATACTTCACCTAAGGAAATGACTGTTTTTCTACTTTGCTAATGAACTTCCACTTTGGCTACAATGCATTCTCTGAACATTCTCACTTCAACATCAAAACCTAATAAAATCTAAGGCGGATTCTTTGCACTGGCTAAAGTTTACTGATGTTTGCAGGGACTTTGTTCAAAAAAAGATTTTTTATTGCAAATATTTCATGTTATATGTACGGCAGATCGTTACAAGTTTATTTCAATAGAGTGGACAAGAGTTGTCACCAGTGAAGCTCTAGTGATTCCAGCAGAGTAGTGCATACTCTAATGAGTCTGATCCAGTGTATGTGCAATGTTTAATTCTGTAACCCAGTATGTAAAATTCTCTGTATAGCAGCAGCTGTTTCCTCCCTTCCTTCTCCATTTATGTGTCTTTCCCTTCTGAAACCCACTTGTCTGTGTGCCCTCACCAGACCTCTGGATAGATCACTGAGGCAGACTGATTTTCCAGTGTCCTCATTGCAATTATGAAGTATAATTGAGACATTCAGTCATATGTAGTTCCTTTCCGCTCACCCCACGGTTCTTCTACCAGTAGTTGAAGCATATTTTAATGAGAAACAGTCGAAAATTGACCTTTTGTGACGTATCTATGGTTTTCTTGCAGTTTTTCGGTCTTACAGGGAAAAAACTTCTCTTGAACTGGCCATTTCCTCTCCAATGGCTCTATGAAGCAGAAAAGAAAACTATTGTTGTCCATATACTACAATCCAGCACATCTTTATTTAATCCTAAGAAATATGTAAGACCTATTCATGTAATCAAGCTAAATATATGGCCTAAAGCTTTTGATACAGTTGGGCTAACAGAAAAACAAATCATTTGCGGGAGCCAGAATGACAGCTCATGCAAGTGAGCATTCTGAGTAACTCCCTATTGTTCATCTTTTCTCTCCTTTTGTGCTTGAAATTATTACAGCGTTCCATGTGTTTGTCACAGGGTGAAAGTGAAAGGGACAGCTGGGGTCCTACCAGCTGCCAGAACAAAATCAAGTGTTTTGTAGCGAAATGATGGCTCAGTATTCCTCCTCCCACAGCCATACTGGGTGGAAAATGGGAATCTCTATGTTGGAATGATACCATTGATTTTTCTTTATCCTCAGCCAAAAAAAAAAAAAATCAACTGGGACATCATTTTTTTTTTCATTTCCAGTCAAATGTTGAGCTTCCACATATGTAGTGTGAAAAATGCACTTTTCAGTCACAAACTTAAGCATGTGTAATGGATGTTATTGAGTGTTTATACCCTGGGGGCATTGGGACACACAGATATGTAGACCGAAGTATCCAAAAGCAGTTCAAAATTTTGATGCTTTTTCTCTCTGTGACCAGCATGATGGGCATGTATCTAGGCAGCTAAAGATGAACCATCATAGCTGCAAACTGGAGCACCAAACAGGCTCTTAGTGGGAGAAGGGGGTGACAATGACCTTGTCCCCTGCTTTCACTGCAAATAAGTAGGAAAGAACAAAGTGTGTCTTCTGTTAGTACTAGATAAATGATAAGTTTAAAGTCTTTGCTTAAATACTAGAGAGCTAGAATGTATTGTTTCTATTTTAATCAATTGAATTAATTTATGGAAATTTCAAATGCAAAATCAATTGCTGTAAAAACTTTCTAACAGAAAACTTCTTCTATTATCTTCCAGAAAAATGTTTAGAACACTTCTTAATCTTATTGACTAGATGACCTATAGAGGTCCCTTCCAACCTTAAGCATTCTATGAAAGCTCGATGAATTTATTATTTTTACCATTAGAAAACAGTATTAGATCCTCTGAACTTGCCCTGTCTGTTTTCATGTGACACTGTGGAGGTTTCAGTAGATATATAGCTAGGGCTCACAGTGCCCAGAGCACTATCATATAGCTAGTAATAGCTATCTGTTACAAATTACCCAGTTTTAAGGTAAAAAAAAAACCCAACAAATCAGAGGAAGATCTGATATGAGAGAGGGCAATTCCAGGAGCCAAACTTCAGTGGAAAAAATGTAAGCAAAATGTTAGGTCAGGAACAGTTCTCGTAAAACAGTAATCAAATGAATTAAGCACTTTTCATGTATACACTTAATAGTGTGATATCTGTAGTACATAGACACTGTAATGTTGATATATACTTCCCAGTTTTTATGTTCTTAGAGAGTAAAGATTTATAGATGTTTATATAATTCATTATATAATATTTTATTAATGTTTTATTATGTAATGCCTTGAACAGAAAGAAAGCAGGCTAATGAAAGGACCCCAAGAAGTTTGATTTTCTTATTCTTTTCTTCCTCCTCATGGGAGTTCTGAGTGAAGATGGATGGGAACATAGTGTAGCTACTTATACTCATGGTGTATGGTATGCTTCTGCTAGCTTACTATCTAGCTAAAATGACGTCCAAGTTGCCTATATGGATAAACATAGCTGATGATCTTGTCTTCTTAATGAATGAGGATGAGCATTTAGCATTCACCCACTCACAGACAAAGATAAATTTATTATAGTTTAGCTGCAGAAGAGTTACAGGCAGACACAAACAGCAAGATTTATTTTTCTTTGAATACATTATATTAATAGGAAATAAATATTTAGGAAAAGATAGTTGCAGAGATACTTTTTCTGTAGCTCTCAGGTTTATACCAAATAACCACAAAAATTCCTGGTATGAGAAAATTTCACCAACTAATACATCACTGTGGTGTGTGTTACTAGCAGTGTAAAACCTTTAAAAGCAGAGCAGCAAATCTACAGTCAATCTAAGTTTAGTTAATTGTCATGGAGGCATAAAAACACACTTCTAGGGCAATTGCTGTCAGGACCTGAATATAATTCACTATATGTGTTTTCAGAGCACAGTCTGATGATGCTTACCATCTGGATGTAGGAAAGAAATTTGGGAAAGGGAGATTTAATAATCTCATTTTCAAGAAAAAAATGTGAGGTAGGTATGTTTTGACTGAAAGAGGGGCAACCCAGAGACAGCTGCTAGAAATGCATGTCTATAAAATACTCAACGTTTGGTTTTGGCTTTCACTCAAATTTTCATTTATAGTTTGTTTTAAATATCTGAGAAACTTAGGTAGAATGAGGATTTACTGCATACGAAGCTCCTAGGGAAGATGAGAGCAGGTCACATAGACACTTAGAAAGATATAAAAAAGACTCATGACATCATCATGGCAATGGTGCTGTCAGCTTTCCATGAGTCACCTACCACACTTTTGGCCTTAGGCTAACTGATAAGCATGTTG